TAGCTCTGCACTGATCAGTTATGATAGCTTTTGGAGGTTTATTTGACATGCAACTTAACCACGACTTGAATAGCCAAACAAATGTGTCGGTGTCTTCACTAGATAACAATCCACAACCAAGAAAAATAGACTGTCCATGGTGATTGACTCCTACAAATGGAGCAAATGGCATGTCATATTTGTTCGTTAGATAAGTTGTGTCAAATGAAACAACATCTCCAAATGATTCATACATATCTCGACTCCTTGCATCAGCCCAAAACAAGTTTCTAATGCGAAACTCCTCATCAACATCAATCACATAAAAAAATTTCTCACTATGTGCTTGCATCCTCATAAAATAACTTTGAAGTGATTCGGCATCACCTTCCCCAAGCCTCAACCTTCTAGCTCTCTCAATGTAATTTCTTGCATCTCGCTCGTCAAATGTCAATGACTCGTATCCCCCCGCTTCAACAACCATTGAATGATAGTTCCTAGACACCCCAATCCCTGCTTCATCATTGATTTCTAATCTTCTCTTCACAGGAGTACGAATTTTCTTATTCATTGCAAAATGACGAGAGTCGGTGGGAATCAAATCATGATTATGCTCAAGGTTAACTATGGTTAGTTTATATCTCCTATCCATTTGTACACTACCTTGTACCCTTGCTGTGCAACCAATTTTTGTGGACAAACATGGCTTCAGAGGGTTGACTTATGATGTCTTTCTTCTCTGCCCCGCTCGAGAACATTCAATTGCAAAGTTTTTTAATTCGCCATGCTTTGCAACCAATTTTTGTGGACAAAGATGGCTTCAAAGGGTTCACTTCTGATTTCTTTTTTCTCTCCCCCGCTCGAGAACATTCAATTGCAAAGTTTTTTAATTCGCCATCATCTCCAAAATGTTGTGCTCTATGAGCTATAGAAAAGCCAACATGCTTAGCATATGTGGCATAAAATGTGTACACATCTTCCCTTGAGCTAAAACACATACCCTTGTTAGGTTCTTCAACTTGTTCACCCTCATTTACTGAAGGATTGTCACCACCATTTGAATCAACCTCCATTCTATGAGAATCAAAAATAAAATTCAAATAGAATGATTTTAGAATAATTATGAAACTGTTATGTTGAACTTCACATTGTGATAATTTCAATTTATGGTATAACTAAATTATAGAAACTTCAATTTCAACCTCAACCTCACATAGTCATGGTATATGTGATTTTGAAACTGTTAACTTCAATTTCAAACTTTGAAACTGTTATGTTCAACTTCAACCTCACATAGTCATGGTATATCACAGAACACATATTAAACACTGTTAAAAAAAAATTACAAAATAAGACAATAAATAAATAAATAAATAAAAAGAAACATATTTTCAGATTGAGAAATAGCTAAACAGCCATACGCATAGCCATACTTATTTTCAGATTCAAGAATAGCACTCATCAAACTACTTTCAGCAAGACACATATTTTCATCATTCAGCAAGATAATAATGTCATGACAAGATACATACTTTCAACAAGATAATGTCATGTCTTGTATTTCTTTTAATTGAAACCAATGACATAAGGATCTTAAGGTTGACCAACTACACTGCTGCAGTAAATTGTCCATTTTTATAATTGTCTTCCAAGATTTTTTCTATTTACATTACTACAATTTATTTGTTTTCCCTTCTACCTGTGTGAAGTGGTATACTATCTATGCTTATTTTTTTATTGCCTTGGGCTGTCTCTTCTCAGGTGCTAACATATGGACATTATTATACTACTATTTACTGATTCTCTTTTTCTTTTTTCTCTTTTTATTTACAAGAACAAAATTAATTTCCCACTCCTGAAGACACCAAACTGTATATCTAACATCAAGATGGCTAAATATGGGGAGGTTCATAATCTGTCACTCAAATTTATAATTTCATTAGTGAATTTTTTTTTTTTAAACTCTGTTCTAACATAGATATTGGTTAAAATTATTTGCCAATTCCTCTTGTACAATTTTTGGCTTTATCAAGCTTATGCATACTACAGTCTATCTTCTTTGGACCAAGCAGTGGTTTAATGATTGCACTGACGACATCAGAGTCTGTTGTTCCCATGCTCTATACCAGCTTCCCATGCTCTGTTTCCTATGTTGAGAATTTAAAATGTGAAAACAAACAGAAAATTGTTCAGAAATCATTTTTCAAGAAATCAAAATCATTTTTCAAGACCTCTTTTGTGCAAAGCCCTGATTCAATAAATCATTTGTACTGTTTTCAAAAGCTCACACTTAGTACAGAACATTGAAGAACCCCCTGTATGTAGATCATTTGTACAGAACATTCAATAAATCATTTGTACAGACATTTCAGATTGATCAATGTATGTAGATAGAGAAAGGGGAGAATGAGGGGTTTTCGAATAACATTACCTGACAAAATGTGAAGAACTCCCTTCAAAAGAATGTGATCGAAGATCCGTAGAGCGAGATACAGAGAGTTATGGTCGGAGAACTATAGCCGTCGATGGAAGAGAGCTATGGTGGACGCACGATGGAAGAGGGAAGAGGGAAGAGGGAAGAGGGAAGACGGACAGGGTCGTCAACCACATTGTGCAGCTTCCCGTTTTTTTTTTGTCTTTGTTTTCAGCCTCTGTTTTTTTTTTTTTTGGTCTTACAGGTGCATATATCACACGTTCCTCATTGTGCAAATGTTCTTCATATGACTTCAATAGCTGCCACCTCAGAGGGGGTCGTGGGGGTTGGTTTTGAAGGGGGTCCGTATCAGAGCTGAAAAAGTATATGCTTGTGTGAAGGGAATGATGGTCATTTTGCATTAAAAAATTCCAAAAGTTAGTTGCGTTATGCTTTTAGTTTTTTTAGCTTGTGTTTTTCTTTAGACCCTTTTCAAAGCTCAAAAGTCAAGTTTTAAATTGGTGCCGAACAAAATCACAACTAAAGTTTATATCTATTTATCCAAATATAAATACACTATGATTGTGTTTAAATTATGAATTTGAATAGAATTAATTTTTTTAAATGTAAATAAAATTTGTATATTTTTTCATTTTTGAATCGCTATACTCAAATTCATCATGTAAACACAGCTTAACACATCTCGTCTAAAAACTTCCCAAGTGTAATTCTTCACGCATCATAAAGATGACAATAATGTTTTTCATTGAAGAGAGATAGATAATTCCTATAAAAAAATTATTTAAAAGAAAAAAGAAAAAAAATTAAAATATGTCAACTGAGAAATGATAATTAATTCACTTATGGACACTACAAAGAAAGAACAGGACCCATGAGCCCAAAACACCAGGCCTATTATAATCACATACGACCTAAAGTAATGAAATTTCTTCTGGGCCGATAATGGGTCGGAAAGCCCATCCTAGAAACATTACCCAATAGAGATATGCCTAATCCGTGACGACATGATTAATTTCATTGCCAACTTGCTAAATACATGTTTGGAGAAAAACTATTACGTATTCTCAGAGAATCATTTGATGTTTATAATAAAAATAAATTAAATTAAGTAATTTGTTTTTTGTCTCTCATATATTAAAAAATAAATCAATATTAGTTTATTCATAATTGTTTTTGGTAAATTACATTTTTACCAAATGTTTAGGGGTAAACATGGTCCAGATTGGAGAAAAAGCAAGATGAATCCGTTGTTTACAGTTTCATAAAATTAGAACCAAATCAATCCATTTAAATTATGAAACAAATGCAAATCAAACCATTTAAATACGGGTTGGCTCGGTTTGGAACTACGATTTTATATAATTAGTTCATGAAAAAAAATAATATAACATTTTCAAAAAAATTCAACCTATTAGCAATTTTTAAAATAATAATAACATGCCCACCAAACAAAACATAACATTAAGCAAATATTCATTAGTATGCCCATGATTTTTCAAAACATAACTTAAACAAACATAATATTTAGGATTGTGTGCATAATGCATAAAGGTGTATGGCATGTATATAGTTTTAAGTTACATACGGTCCGATTTTGTTTTAATCTAGAACCATAAACTTAAATTTAGAACCGATTTGCGAATACCGATTTTCCAATTTTCTAAACCAGAATTGAATCACAGTCACAGATTCAAAAAATAATCCACACCTACTGGATTGGACTGGACCGGTTCGGATTGTGATTTTTTTATTTCCTTGCTCAGCCATATAAGTGTTATATGAATTAAAATCTAAACAGAGCCCAATATAATTATTCTAAATTTGTAAGACTTGTTTTTTTATTTCAAAATCTCACATGAAATCAGTGTAATTTTTCCTAATTTTTTTACTACAACATTATCAAAATAAGGGTAAAATATAAATATACTATCAGATTTGATTAAAATACGAATTATCTCATATGATTTTATCAATTATAAATACTTCATTATTAAAAAAATTTGTTTAACCGAATTAATAGTAAAAAATAAAATTTATAATTACTTTCCTATAAAATAATAAAATTATTTAAATTATTAATTAAAATATATTTATAATATTATTAAATTTCGTTAAATAAATTAATAATTTACTGAGCGATTAAAATTTTAAAGGGAAAATATGTAATTTTTAAGCAAACTTGAAAATAAAATAAAATAAGGCTAAGTTTGGTAACTTGTAAAAAAGTTAAAAAGTCAAAAAATTATTCAAAAAGTTAAAAAGTTAACACTATTCGCCAAAAGTCAACAATTACGGCTGCACAACTCCTAATTCGAATTTTTCTCTACAAATCAATTTTTACAATTTTTTATTACATATTTTTTCATAAAATGTCAAAAAATTAACCCAAACATTCATATTTTTAACCTCAATTTTTTAATCTAAAAAAATAAAAACTACACTTATTCAATACACCCCCAAACAACCCCTAAACGTGGCAAGAGTTTTACGGCGAAAGCCGGTAGAGCCACCATGAAAACGAAACTTGTTTCTCATGCAAGCCCTTCAGTCCTCTGGCTTACACGCGTCAACACGTTGCACTCCCCTCCTCCTCTCTTCTCTTTATTACCATCCCACTCCCACCGCCACCTTCACTCACCTCTCTCTCTCTCTCTCTAAAAACTCATCTTCTCATTCTAACAATCCATGGCAGATCGCCCACATCAGATCCAAGTCCGGCCACAGCACCTCTACGACGGCGGTTTGAAGACTCGCCAAGACGGTCCATCCCCAAGCAAAGTCCTCGCAGTCATCGCCCTCCTCCCCCTCGGCGGAACACTACTCTGCCTCGCCGGAATCACCCTCTTCGGAACCCTCATCGGCCTCGCCGTCACCACCCCTCTCTTCATCATCTGCAGCCCCGTTCTCGTCCCCGCCACCATCGCCGCAGGTCTGGCCGTGGCTGGAATTCTCACGTCGGGGGCTTTCGGGCTCACCGGGCTGTCGTGGCTGACGCGGGTGGTGAATTACTTGCGCGGAGTCGGTGCTTCGATGCCGCAGCAGTTGGATGAGGCGAAGAGGCGCATGCAGGATGTGGCGGTGCAAATGGGGGAGAAGGCGAAGGAGGTCGGCGAAGCAATACAGAAGAAGGCTCAGGAAGCTGGCAAATAGAAAGATTTAAATGGAGCCAATATGTGAAAATGGGAAATGTGTTAATTTGATGTATGTTTTTTTTTTCAGTTTCATTGCATTGCTTATTTTCAACTTGTTTGTGTTTTGTGTATGTGTTATATCTTTGTGGGGTTTATCATATATTTTGAGGTGGATTTTGAGGTGTGAAACTAGCTCGTCACTTGGTGGTAGACCATCTCTAATGGTTATTTAAAATTGTCATCAAATTTAAATTTGATGAAAAGTAACTTATCTTTCTGTTTTAACGATTTCATCAAATACGTATTAAATTTAGGATTTCATTTTTTAAAATTTGATGAAAAGTAGCTTATCTTTCTATTTTAACGGTTTCATCAAATACATATCAAATTTAGGATTTCATTTTTTAAAATTTGATGAAAAGTAGCTTATCTTTCTGTTCTAACAGTTTCATCAAATACGTATCAAATTTAGGATTTCACCTTTTTTTTTTAATCAAATTGAGGATCAATGTGTCTTTCATTAAATTCGTTGGATTTACACCACCGGAGGTTCTTGGATGACCACCTCAAGGCAAACATTTATGAAAAATTTATACTGACCAGTCGATCGGCTTGAAATTGCCTAGTCAATCTCTAGATGACTATGGCAAGGTAAAAAATTGTGAAAAATTACACTAGTCGGTTAATTGGCTGGACATTTGCCCGATCGTCCACTCAGTTGACTGGTGTTTTGATGAAATTTAAAGAACCCTCCGTTGAAACACTTGATATTAGATGGACCTTTTTTTAAATTTAGTGAAAATTTTGATGCATCGTTAGACGGTAAATTATTTAATAATTCCGGAATACTATATGGCTATATTCTAAACCAATTACCAATTACTTAGCCCTCATATTATTTCTTTATTTCCAACATAAATCGTAAGCCTCTACTCCGCTCTACTAATCAAAACGTTATGGAACACCACGTGTCTATACTCCGGGAATACTGAATAATCACCCTAATTAGAGATGTTCTTAATCACCAATGTTTTTATTAAAAAAGAAAAAAAAAACAATGTTAGATACTTAGGGTTCGTTTGGGATGTGAGTTAGTTTTTTGACTCTTTAACTTTTTTAGCTTGGGTTAAAAAATTTCGTTTGGGATAAATTTTTGGCTTTTTTGACTTTTGTGAGAAAAAAATTGAAATGATTATAAATTGGGTGTGATGTCTAATCTTATTGAACTAAAAAGTTTATTTTGTCTTTTTTATAACTATTTTAGCCAAAAAGTTTTTGACTTTTTTATGCCAAACGAGCTCTTAATGAATTACAGTACTTACATAATCGGACCAACATCAGTGTCACCAACATTATTTGAAATTTGATAATCATTTGTGATTTTTGCATATTTTTGTTAAAAATTTACAAAATTAATACATAAGTTTTTTTTTCTTCTTCTTTTTCTATTCATAAATCTCTTCATAAATTTTAAAATTTAAAATTAAAAATTTAGGCATCTGTTCAGCATTAATTGAGAAATATGTTGAGAGAAGAGGAAGGGAGAATGGATAGATAATAGAGAACAACAATGTTACGTTTTTTAATTTATCATCCTTAAACTATCTTTTCCTTAATTTATTATCCTTAAATCATTCATGATGATATGGCATTTGAGGTTTTACATTATGGAATGTTTAATGAATTCAAATTTGACACACACATTAAGAAGAATGATTTTTAAGTGCGATAAATTAAGTGTCTTTAAGCATTATTGAATAGAGAGAGACTGATAAACATGTGATGGAGGTAAACACAGTTGTTGAGGAGTCAAAGTGGGATGAAGGTTTCAACAGAGAAGAGAAAGTATGTACCAAGGAGGTAGACACAGTTATTGAGGAGACCATATTGGAGGAGTCCGTGCACAACCCAAATTTTATTGTTGAACAAGTATCTACACCTGGTTTTATCAAAAACTTCAGTGGATCTCGTGATGGAGTTGGGTTTGGTATCAATCTTGAAGTGGATTTGGCACAAGCTCTTAGTAAGAATCTAAATAGGAAGGGTCTTCTGAGCCTTAATCCTTCAGGCTTAGTTAGGCAACCTGTTTCTGTCCTAAAACTCCTACGGAATGAGAAGAAGAAAAGAAAGAAGAAGGTTCAGCTAGAGGGGTTCACCAGCTTTGCTAGACTTCATGGGCAGAAAACTGCAGCAGTCAGCAAGCACACTTCTAGGTCTGTCATTTTCAGACTAGCAGCAGCTGCGATAGCACGTTCAGATTTGTCTAAGGGTGTTACTAGTCCGAACAATCTTCTCCTCAATAAAACTCAAGCCACTATACAATTAGTGTAACAACCCTCATACTGTTTACTGATTAGGGACTGATTGATCACCGATTACTGTTAAACGAAACTGATAATGACTGATAACTGACTGATAATCGAACTGAATGAAATACTGAACCGACTGACTGAAATTGAAATTGAATTGACTGAGTATATGTTAGTTAATTGCATTCTATCTGTTTGATTGTCTGATTATCTGTTCATGCTTATATGTTTAAACTGCTAATTGAAGGCCTTATCGGCGGCCGAACTAGAAACCGATTGATGTTCCGTGACCCTCATAATTAATATGATTTTATGGTATAATTATCGGAAAACTGATTAGGTGTGATTGAATTAGATTAAATAAGCTAATTAAAGAGTTAAGCTTAATTACCATTTTGCCACCCTTAGTGGCCCACTCAATACACACACTTGAGCCTTATACTTGAATTAAAACACATTTGCTCAGCCATTTTCTTGTGCTTAACCGACCAAGAGAGGGAGAGAGAGAGAAATTGAGTTCTACCTTGGCAAGAGAAAGAAAAGCTCAGACCATGCAGCATCTACATCGTGAAGAACATCATTTCTTGCATGGTTTTATAAAAAATCTTCAAAGTGTTGGACTTAGAACTCATATATGTATGATTTCATAATTTTCTACTTGAAACTCAAAAGTTTGATCCTTGCATGGCATAAATTTCATGAAATCCATGATCATATATTTGTTTTCTTACATGAGTGTCCAAAATTGAGAGGAAATGCCATGGGTCTTGAAGATTTGAAGCTCAAACTATACAAGTTCTATGAACTTTCATAACACTATAAAACTTGAACCTTTTGCATGAAAAATTTAGTTTTGATTTGAAGTTATAACTTTGTTTAAAGCTAAATATGTGAAGTTCAATATGTTCATGAAAGGTTTTGGGTCTTGAATTACATGAAAATGGAGTTGGAATTGAAAATTTGAGACTTCAAAAATGAGGCAAATTTTTGAACCAAACAAACCCAGAACCGCACGTGCGGCCTAGGGTGCTACATGTGCAGAAAACAGGGTTGAAAATTGGTGTGCAGGCTGCTTGGATTCGCACGTGCGGATTGGGCATCTAGCACGTGCGATTTTGGTCAGGGCCCCGATTTGTTTTCGCTCCATTTTTCTACTTTCTGGGCTACTGTTTGCGTAGTTTTAAAGTGTTTTTCATATGCATTTGCATCTCATGAACACGAATGAAATAGAGAACGAAAGAACGAACCGAACGAGTGAACAACGAATAGAAACTAATCAAGTAAACAATAAACTGAATAAAACTGACTGAACGATTGAACCGTGTATTGAATTGTTGTGCTTGAATTTGTTTGTTAGGTTGGATGCCACATCTTTAGTGTATCTTTAGCACGTGTTTCAGGGAGCCCACTGTGAGTGACACTATTGTAAAGTTATGTTCCATTCTAATTATTTTCTGATTGATATGAATGTATTGTTTTACTGAAATGATAATATTTATTGATGGATGATTGTCCTATTTTCTGAACTGCACTCGTGGCATCTATAGCATATTATTATTGCTATTGTTATTATTATTGTTAAAGAGATCTTTGTCATACGCTGATAAAAAACGTAAGGGGGTTGAGTTGAATGTTGGAGATTTTGTGTTTTTGAAAGTCTTGCTGATGAAGGGTATCATGCGATTTGGAAAGAAGGGAAAGTTGGCATCTAGATTTGTGGGACCACATGAGATCATTGAGAAGATTGGTAATGTGGCTTATAAATTAGCCCTACCACCTACTTTAGCTATGATTCACAACGTGTTCCATGTATCTTTATTGCGGAAGTGTGTGCAAGACCCTTCCCAAGTGGTATCACCAGAGGTATTGGAGATTAGTGATGATCTAACGTATGTGGTGCGACCGGTTACTATTCTAGATCGGGATGTAAAGCAGTTGCGGCGCAAGAAAGTGAACTTGGTTAAAGTGTAATGGAGCGAGGATGAGAATGATATCACTTGGGAATTAGAAGAGAAAATTTAGTGTTTGCACTAGGAACATTTTGCTTAATACCCTCTCCTATTGAATCTCGGGACGAGATTCTTTTGAAGTGTGTATATTGTAGCGATCCTGATTTTTTGTAAGTCTTTATTTATTTATTATTATTATCTTTATTTTATTTTTGACTTTATTAATTGCATGATTACATGAGAATTTAATGTGTTGTTTAGTTAATTTAATGTGATATTTAATTAGTTTAATGTGGTATTTAATTATATGTAATTAATCTGAATATTGATATATTTATATTTTTTATATATAAAAAAATAGTGTTTTATGTATATTGTAATTATGTTGTATTATATAATATAATATAACAGTTTATTAGGTTATAAGTATTGGAGCCTCACTTTAAAAAAAAAGAAAAAAAAAGGAGCAGCAGCCACGAGAGAGAGAGAGAGAGAGAGAGAGAGATTAATCAAGAAAGAGAGTCGAAAAAGAGAGAAACAGTGGGGAGAGAGAAAAAAGAGAGCAGAGAAAAGGAAAAAAAAAAGTTAGGGTTTTGTTTTGGTGGCTCCATTAGTTCTTTAAATGTTTCTTTGATTTTCAAAAAGTAATTGTGAGTACAAAACCTACTTCTCTTGATTGATGTTTAATTCGTTATTTTTATTTATTTATTTTTATTTATTTGATGTTGGTTGGATTTTGTATTTGTATGTAGATAATAGATTGATTTTAATTATTTTGATTAGTTGTGTATGTCAGGTTTAAGGTTTTTATATGTATTTATTTTATGGTTGTAATCACACTCATTAATCTATGAAATTAAAATAAACTTAGAACCCATCCTTATACTCCACTATGACTCTATGGATTGTTATTTTATTTGAG